ATAACAGGGGGTGGATTTTATGCCCAACTTGATATGAGGAGAATAGATTTCTTAGCCAATTATAAAAAAAATCTATTACTAAGTAAATGGAAGCAGACTCATTAAATGTCACTCTATGGTGACCAATAAATACTTGTTGCATGACATTTGTGCTATAGGAATAGGTTTTTCTACAAGAAATCAAGTCTGGCTGAGCCTATACTTACCAGATTTGGCTGGAAATCAGATCTGAGTCATTGTGGAGGAGAGAAACCCTTTCCCTCTCTTTCAAAGAAATGAGAACCTTAGGAATCTTGGGGCAAGTCATCAGGACTTCAGCCCATTGTAGTTAAATTGGAGTGTTTACTTTGCAAAATACATAGTTTATTTGAAGGCACATTTTACTGTCCTTGACATCCATTTCCTCTCTGCCAGGATCTCTCCCATAGCTTTTTTTTTTTTTTTTTTAAACACAGTTTAGTTTCCTGTTTTGAGGTAGCACCCCATTTGGAGACACTCATGTTCTTGGTCATGTTCATGACCCTTACTAGGGGTAGAACACAGGTGTCCATCCTCTTGAAACCTACCAGTCCTCTATTCCTTGAGTATCAAGGAGTATAGTCATCTAGTTCTTCCCTTTTCCTTTAAACATTTATCTTTCCCTTCTTAGACAAACTATCTTCTGTTGTGATCTCAGCTTTTGAAAAAACAGAGGCTTTATTAATCCTCCCCTAAAAAGGAAAGTCCGAACTTGGAAAATTGGACTGAAGTTAAGGCAGCATGCTCTTCAGATGCTACACATCTGAGAACAAAAAGAGAATTATTATTCTGGTTGATTATTCTGTTGCACAATTAAACACCATCCTGTGACAGCACTAGTTGAGGTTTTATTCCTTAATCTTCCCTCTCCTTCACTTCTTTTCACTCCTAATACAGTATTATGTCCTATAGGTGGCCTGGTAAATCTCTCTTGGATCTGTCCACTCTCCATCTCTCAGGGAACTAGCAAAGATGAAAACATCTCATCTCTCACCTGGACTACTGCAGGATATTTACCATCTCACTTTCGTCTGCTCAGATTCCTTCTTCAGAGAGGGAGATGATTTTAAAATACAAATCTGATTGTTACCACATTCCCATCTTCCACACATTCCTTTCTTGAAGACCTTTATTTATTTATTTGTTTAATTTAAATTTTTTACATTTATCTTAATTTATTGTTTTAATTGAAGTATAGTTGTTCCACAGTGATTCAGGTGTACAGGAAAGTGATTCAATTATACATTTATGTATTTATTTTTCAGATATTTTTTCATAAGTTATTATGAGATACTGAATATAGTTCCCTGTGCTATACAGTAGGTCCTTGTTAGTTACGTATTTTATATATAGTAGTGTATATCTGTTAAACCCAAATTCCCAATTGATCCCTCCCAGCTCCTTTCACCTTTGGTAACCACAATTTTCTTTTCTATGTCTGTGAATCTATTTCAGTTTTGTAAATAAGTTCATTTGTATCATTTTTTTTGATTCCACATAAAAGTGATATCATATGCTATTTGTCTTTCTTTGTTGGACATATTTCACTTAGTGTGAAAATCTCTAGGTCCATCCATGTTGCTGCAAATGGCATTATTTCATTGTTATTTTATGACTGAGTAATATTCCATTGTATATACATATATGTATATATATAGTGGTATATACATATGGTGGTATATACATCTAGTGGTATATACATATAGTTATAGATACATATAGTGACATATACATATAGTGATATAGTGATATCTATATATACATATATATGTATATATATATATCTCACATCTTCTTTATCCTTTAATCTGTTGGTGGACACTTAGGTTGCTTCCATACCTTGGCATTTGTAAATAACGCTGCTGTGAACATTGGGGTGCAAGTATCTTTTCGAATTACTATTTTTGTTACTTTTGGAAATATACCCAGGAGTGTGATTGCTGAATCATATGGCAACTCTATTTTTAGTTTTTTGAGAAACCTCCATACTGTAAACTTTTCAATGATAGCCATTTTGACAGGTGTGAGGTGATACCTCATTGTGGTTTTGATTTGCATTTTTCTAATAATTAGTGAGGTTGAGCATCTTTTCATGCGCCTGCTGGCCATCTATATGTCTTCTTTGGAGAAATGTCTATTCAGTTCTTCTGCCTATGTTTTAATTGGGTTTCTTGCTTTTTTGATATTGAGTTGTATGAATTGTTTATATATGTTGTATATTCACCCTTTATTGGTCATATCATTTGCAAATATCTTTCCCCATTCAGTAGGTTGTCCTTTCATTTTGTTGATGGTTTCCTTTACTATGCAAAAGCTTTTAAGTTTAAATAGATCCCATTTGCTTATTTGTTATCTTGTTTCCTTTGCTTTAAGAGATGGATCCAAAAAAATATTGCTGCGATTTATGTCAGAGTGTTCTGCCTATGTTTTCCTCTAGGAGTTTTATGGTATCCCCTCTTACATTTAGGTCTTTACTCTATTTTGGGTTTATTTTTGTGTATGGTGTTAGAGAATGTTCTAATTTCATTGTTTTGCATGTAGCTGTACAGTTTTTCCAGCACCACTAATTGAAGAGACTGTCTTTTCTCTATTGTATGTTTTTGCCTCCTTTGTCAGAGATTAATTGACCATAAGTGCATGGGTTTATTTCTGGGCTTTCTATCCTATTCCATTGATCTTGTGCCTATTTTTGTGCCAGCACCATACTGTTTTGATTACTGTAGCTTTGTAGTATAGTCTGAAGTCAGGGAGCCTGATTCCTCCAGCTCTGTTCTTCTTTCTCAAGGTTGTTTTGGCTATTAGGGGTCTCGTGTTTCCCTATAAATTTTAAATGTTTTTTTCTAGTTCTATGAAAAATGCCATTGGTAATTTGATACAGATTGCATTGAATCTGTAGATTGCCTTGGGTAGTATAGTCATTTTGACAGTATTGATTATTCCAATCCAAGAACATGGTATATATTTCCATCTGTTTGTGTCTTCTTTGATTTCTTTCATCAGCATCTTATAGTTTTCAGCGTACAGGTATTTTGTCTCCTTAGGTAGGTTTATTTCTAGGTATTTTATTCTTTTTGAGGCAATGGTAAATGGGATTGTTTCCTTAATTTCTCTTTCTGATGTTTTGTTGTTAGTGTATAGGAATGCGGTATATTTCTGTGTATTAATTTTGTATCTACAACTTTATCAAATTCATTGATGAGCTCTAGTAGTTTTCTGGTGGCATCTTTAGGATTTTGTATGTATAGTATCATGTCATCTGCAAACAGTGACAGTTTTACTTCTTTTGCAGTTTGGATTCTTTTTATTTTTCTTCTCTGATTGCCATTGCTAGGACTTCCAAAACTATGTTGAATAAAAGTGGTGACAATTGACATCCTTGCCTTTTTCCTGATCTTAGAGGGAATGCTTTCAGCTTTTCACCCTTGAGAATGATGTTAGCTGTGGGTTTTTTATATTTGGGGTTTATTATGTTGAGGTAGGTTCCCTCTACTCCCACGTTGTGGAGAGTTTTTTTCATACTTGGATGTTAAATTTTATTGAAAGCTTTTTCTGCATCTACTGACATGATCATATGGTATTTATTCTTCAGTTTGTTAAATGTGGTGTATCACATTGATTGATTTGCAGATTTTGAAAAATCCTCACATCCCTGGGAAAATCCCACTTGATCATGGAGTATGATCCTTTATTGTATTGTTGGATTTTGTTTGCTAGTATTTTATAGAGGATTTTTGCATCTATGTTCATCAATGATATTGACCTGTAATTTTCATTTTTGATGATATCTTTGTCTGGTTTCAGTATAAGGGTTATTGTAGCCTCATAGAATGATTTCAGAAGTGTTCCTTCCTCTGCAATTTTTTGGAATAGTTTCAGAAGTGTAGGCATTAACTCTTCTCTAGATGTTTGGTATAATTCACCTGTGAAGCGATCTGGTCTTGGACTTTTGTTTGTAGGGAATTTTAAAATTATGGATTCAATTTCAGTACTGATAACTGGTCTGTTCATATTTTTCATTTCTTCCTGCTTAAGTCTTGGGAGATTGTACCTTTCTAAGAATTAGTCTGTTTCTTCTAAGTTGTCCATTTTATTGGGGTATAGTTACTTGTAGTATTCTCTTATGATCCTCTGTATTTCTGCAGTGTCAGTTGTAATTTCTCCTTTTTCATTTCTATTTTTATTGATTTGGGCCCTCTCCCTTTTATCTTTATGAGTCTGGCTAAAAGTTTATCAATTTTGTTTATCTTCTCAAAGAACCAACTTTTAGTTTCATTGATTTTTTCCTAACTTTTAAAAGCTCTTATTTATTTCTGCTCTGATCTGTATGATTTCTTTCCTGCTACTAACTTTGGGTTTTGTTTGTTCTTCTTTCTCTAGTTGCTTTTGGTGTAAGGTTATGTTGTTTATTTGAGATTTTTCATTGCCTTATATATTGAGGTGCTCCTATGTTGGGTGCATATATATTTACAATTGTTTTATCTTCTTGGATTGATCCCTTGATCATCACGTAGTGTCTTTCTCTGTCTCTTATAACAGTCTTTATTTTAAAGTCTATTTTTCTGGTATAAGTATTGCTACTCCAGCTTTCTTTTTATGTCCATCTGCATAGAATATTTTATCCATCCCCTCACTTTCAGTCTGTATATGTCTCTAGATCTGAGATGAGTTTCTTATAGACAGCATAGATATGGGTCTTGTTTTGTGTCCATTCAGCCAGTCTGTGTCTTTTGGTTTAAGCATTTAGTCCATTTACATTTATTGTAATTATCAATATGTATGTTCTTATTGCTATTTTGTTAATTGGTTTGGATTTGTTTTTGTAAGTCTTTTTTTCCCCTTTCTTCTTTTGTTCTTTTCTCTTGTGATTTGATGACTATCTTTAGTGTTATGTTTGCATTCCTTTTGCGTGCTGTTAACATCATATAGAAAAACCCGAATGAACTTTTTGGCCAACCCAATATATTATGCCACTCCCTTCTGACCTGCAGACTTTCTGCTGAAAAATCAGCGGGTAGCCTTATGGGAGTTCCCTTGTAGGCTACTTGTTGCTTTTCCCTTGCTGATTTTAGTATTCTCTCATTATCTTTAATATTTGGCATTTTGAGTACAATGTGTCTTAGTGTGTTCCTCTTTGAGTTAATTCTGTATGGGATTCTGTGCTTCCTGGACTTCAGTGACTGTTTCCTTCCACAGGTTATGAAGGTTTTCAGCTATTACGTCTTCAAATATTTTCTTGGACCCTTTCTCTCTCTCTCCTTCTTCTGGGACCCCTAAAATGCAAATATTAGTGCAATTGATGTTGTTTCAAAGGTTTCTTAAACTGTCCTCATCTCTTTTCATTCTTTTTTCTTTTATCTGTTTAGCAGCACTGATTTCCACTACTCTGTCTTTGAGCTTACTAATCCATTCATCTACTTCATTTAGTTTACTATTGACTCCTTCTAGTGCATTTTTCATTTCAGTTTTTGTATTTTTCATCTGTTTGGTTGTTCTTTATGTATTCTAACTCACTGTTAAAACTTCTAACTTCTTGTTCTGTGCATCCATCCTCCTCCTAGGTTCTTTTATCATCTTTACAATCATTCCTCTGAATTCTTTCTTGGGTAGATTGCCTATCTCCTCTTCACTTAGTTCTTCTTCTGGAGTTTTATCTTGTTCCTTAATCTGGAACATACTCCTATGTTGCCTCATTTTGTCTAAGTTGCTATTTGCATTTTTAAGTATGTGGTAGGTTAGTTGCATTTCTCAGCCTTGGAGAAGCGACCCTATGTAGGAGGCATCCTATGCATCCCCACAGTGTACTCCCCTCTTGTCACCCAAGCTCTATGGAGTTCCCCTAAGAGGGCTGTATGTGTCCTTCTGTTGTTGTGGGCTGACTGTGTGGGCAGTCTGGTAGGCTTAGTTGGCCCCTAGTCTGTTTGGTTGTCAGGCCTTGCCTTGTGTGAATGCTGCTGTCTTCTGTTTAGCAGGGCCTGATCATGAGGTGGCTGGTTGCAGAACCCTAGTGGGCCCCAGTGCTAATGCTGGCTCACTGGTGGGTGGAGTCAGGGTCTCGAATACTCTGGGACTGTATCCCACCCACTGGCAGGTGAATCCATATCCTGGGTTTAGTGCCAGACTACTGGCAGACAGATCTGGTTCTTGGAGTCTGGCTGCATGGCCCGGGATTAGAGAGCTTGTTTCAGATTGTTGGTGGGGGCAGGGGCCGGTTCCTGATACAGCTGCGTATGGGTTCCAGGGTGCCCAGATGGTTGCACTGGCCTGCTAGTGGGCAAGGCCAGGGCCCAGATGGTCCCAGGGTAGAGTCTGGCCTGTGATGCAGGACTGTAGTTTTCTTGCTTCTGGTATCTGCCCCTGGTGGGTGAGGCTGGTCTAGAGGCTTGTGCAGGCTTCCTGGTGGAAGGGGCTGGTGCCTATCCACTGGTGGGTAGAGCAGGGTGTTGTCCTCTGTGTCTAGGCTCATGTCCAGAGGTGGCTGTGGGCTCTTTAGTCTTTAGGCAGCCTGTGTGCTGATGGGTGGGGCTGTGTCCCCACCCAGTTAGTTTTTCAGCCTGAGGTGTCCCAGCACTGAATCCTACAGGCTGTTGGGTGGCACCAGGTCTTAGCACTAATAATCCAAGATATCAGCCACCAGGCATGTTCATGCAGCTGAATGTTTACCAGTATATCTGACATCAGTGTTTATGTCTCCAGGGTGAGCTGCAGCCACCAACCCCCATCTCTCTGGGAGACTCTGGCCCAGGCTCCTATCAAATTACTTCTTTTACTGTGGGTCCCGGTGTGTGTGAGATTTTGTTTGTACCCTTTAAGTGTGAAGTCTCTATTTCCCCCAGTCCTGTAGGGCTCCTGCAAGTAAGCTCTGCTGGCCTTCAAAGCCAAATTCTCTGGGGGCTTGCCATCCCCGTGCCTGAACCCCAGGCTAGGGAGCCTGATGTGGAGCTCAGAATTCACTCTTATGGGAGAATCTCTGCAATATAATTATTCTCCTGTTTGTGGGTCATCCATCTGTGGGGTATGGGATTTGATCATATCCTGAGTCTGTTTCTCCTGCCTGTCTTGTGGTTCCTTCTTTATGTCTTCAGTTGTAGGTTCCATTTTTTTTCACTGATGTTTGTTCTGAAGGTAGTTGTGACTTGGTGTGCTTGAGAGAATAGGTGAGCTCAGGGTCTTTCTACTCTGCCATATTTGCCGTTCTCTCCTCTTGAAGACTTTTAAACAGCTTCTCATTTCTTTAAGAATAAAGTCCAGGGCTTCCCTGGTGGCACAGTGGTTGAGAGTACGCCTGCCGATGCAGGGGACACGGGTTTGTGCCCCGTCCAGGAAGATCCCACATGCTGCGGAGCGGCTGGGCTCGTGAGCCATTGCCGCTGAGCCTGCGCGTCCGGAGCCTGTGCTCCGCAACGGGAGAGGCCACAACAGTGAGAGGCCCCCGTAACGCAAGAAAAAGAAGCCATTAATACTGCCATGTGCCACACCAGAGGAGGAGGATACTAAGGCCATGAATGTATTCTGATGTAGGAAACTGGGTGAGATTACTGAGGGTAAATAATAGGAGATAACCCCTTCTGTGTTCACAGAATAACAATAAATACATTCAATTTCCTTTTAAGAGTGCCCAATTTAATTCATATGCTAAGCTAAAGATATTGAGAGTAAGTGGTGTACCACAGTATTAGGGTTTTGAAGTCTAGAGTCAGACAACTTGGGTTGAAATAATGGCTCTACTTCTTCTAAGCTATGTCATCTGGAGCAATGTAAGCATCATTAATAATCCTCAGTTTCTCTTCTATAAATGAATAAAATAGCATTTCCTATTTCATAGAGAGTTTAAAAGCAAAAAATGAGTGATGAGTGCTTAGTATAATGCTTAGAGTATACATTCAATAAATTGTAGTTACTATGTGATATTGGTAATCATAACACATAATAATCATTATGTAATGATTATTACATATATATGTATGTATATATATACATATATATTGTATATATGTATATATATGTATATATATATTATTACGTATATATATGATATAATTAAGATAATCAACAAACCATTTACAACAGTGAAATAAACCTGATTTGAAAACAAATGTTTCTGTTATTCTGAAGAGTATTTTTGGTAGAAAAGGTGGATTTTGCAGTATAAACTAAACTAAAAAATAAAAGTATTTAACTTACTATTAAATTAGCCCTCATTTAGTTTACCTATAAATCTCACTCTGTCATATATTACAGTTTCCAAAAATAGTGTTTAGAAACTGTTATGCTTTTTAAGTTATAAATATTTAGAATAGAAAATATTGAAAAGTTGACCAAAACATAAAAATAACAGGAAACTACCCCTTATCAAACCTTGTTTTCAAATTTTTTTGATAAAATTCCTAGTTTGTTTGGATTAAGTTGTTTTTGAATACTGTAATTTTCCACAGCTTTTATTTTACTGTTTTTCTGTCCAAATAAGGAAAAGAAATTTAAACAAAAAATTATTAATTTCATCTTTTCTTTCATAAAGTACAAGAGCAAAGTTGAAAAGAAAAATAGTAGTTTTATACACTATCATAGAAATATTTTTTCTTTTTAAAAAATTAATAAAAATTAAAATTATTATATTTTTATCAGTAATCACTTTTTAAAAAATTTTTATAAATTTTAATTTCATTGGAGTATAGTTGATTTAAAATGTTGTGTTAGTCTCAGGTGTACATCAAGGTGATTCAGCTATACACATATATATATTCATTCTTTTTTATATTCTTTTCTCATATAGTTATCCCAAAATATTGAGTCGAGTTCCCTCTGCTATACAGTAGGTCCTTGTTGGTTTTCTATCTTATATATAGTAGTGTGTGTATGTTCATCTTAAGCTCCTGATTTATCCCTCACCCCCATGTTTCCTCTTTGGCAACCATAAGTTTGTTTTTGATATCTGTAAGTCTGTTTTGTAAATAAGTTCATTTGTTTCATTTTTTAAAAATTAGATTCCACATATGAGTGATGTCATAAAATATTTGCCTTTCTCTGTCTGACTTAGTATAATAATCTCTAGGTCCATCCATGTTGCTGAGAATGGCATTATTTCATTCTTTTTTATGGTTGAGTAATATTCCATTTTATATATGTACCACATCTTCTTTGTCCATTCCTCAGTCGATGGACATTTAGTTTGCTTCCATGTCTTGGCTATTGTAAATTGTGCTGCAGTGAACACTGGGGTGCCTGTATCTTTTCAAATTATGGTTTTTCTCCAGATATATGCCCAGGAGTGGGATTGCTGGATCACATGGTAGTTCTATTTTTAGTATTTTAAAGAACATCCATATTGTTCTCTATAGTGGTTGTACCAATTTACTTTCCCTAATGCCCATTCTGACTGGTGTGAAGTGATACCTCATTGTAGTATTGATTTGCATTTCTCTAATAATTAGTGACGTTGAGCATCTTTTCATGTGCTTTTTGACCATTTGTAGGTCTTCTTTGAATAAATGTCTATTTAGATCTTCTGCCCATTTTTTAATTTTTTTAATTTATTTTTTTAATTGGGCTGCATGAGCTGTTGGTACATTTTAAAGATTAATCCCTTGTCAGTTGCATTGCTTGCAAATATTTTCTCCCATTCTGTGGGCTGTCTCTTCGTTTTGTTTATGGTTTCTGTTGCTATGCAAAAGCTTTTGAGTTTAATTAGGTCCGATTTGTTTATTTTTGTTTTTATTTTCATTACTCTAGGAGGTGGATCAAAAAATATATTGCTGTGATTTATGTCAAAGAGTGATCTGCCTATATTTTCCTCTAAGAGTTTAATAGTATCCAGCCTTACATTTAAGTCTTTGATCCATTTCAAGTTTATTTTTCTGTATGGTGTTAGAGAATGTTCTATTTTCATTCTTTTACATGTAGCTGCCCAGTTTTCCCAGCATCACTTATTGAAGGGACTGTCTTTTCTCTATTGTAGATTCTTGCCTCCTTTGTCATAGATTAATTGACCATAGGTACATGGGTTTATTTCTGGGCTTTCTATCATGTTCCACGGCTCTAACATTCTGCTTTATTTGCCAGTAAAATACTTTTTAAATTACTCTGGCTTTGTAGTGTAGTCTGAAGTAAGGGAACCTGATTCCTCCTGTTCTGTTTACTTCCTCAGGATTGCTTTGGCTCTTCTGGGTCTTTTGTGTTTCCATACAAATTTTAAAATGTTTTGTTCTAGTTCTGTGAAAAATGCCATTGGTAATTTGATAGGGATTGCAATGAATCTGTAGATTGCCTTAGGTAGTATAGT